AATAATTTTTCAAAGGGACCTTTGTAAGTGCAAATAGAGCAAAAGTTGAGATATCATATCTTACCTCAAGCCTTTTAAATATGACCGAGTCTTGAAATCAACTCATGGAAACACAAGATCACCGGCTGCAACGAGACAGCCCCTGTTCTGCTTGTCTGTTCACTCTGATGGATTTTGAAAGTACACACGACTATCCTTCTTGTACAATCTGCACCCGTCACAGGCAACTACTGAACTCTTGAAATATGGCTAGTCCAAACTGAGGTGTAGCTTACTGTACTTTGAAGGCCTAGCTCCAAAGTAAAGTACAACATCTCACAATAATCTATGTTGATTATTTGTTGACATTAATTTTATATTGCTAGATTAGATCATACATTTTAAAAATTAATTCCACCTGTTTCTTCTTAACAAAAAAAAAGTACCAACATCAAACCAAAGCAAACGCACTGCCATTGAGTTTGGTTCCCACTCACAGTGTGCACAGCTCCCCGCCCCGGCAGGGTCTTGGAATGGACATCTGTAAGACGCGGGCTGTGTGTCTTTTGCCTACACAGCAACCTCTCAGTGAGAAGGCAAGCGCTTGGCCCACTGCACCACCAGGGCTCCAATGTGCCCATAGGAACATTTAAACATGTAGTCTTTTCAATAAGGAGCCTGCTGGTAGAGTGGATTGTGTGCTGGGCTGCTAACCATAAGGTCAGCAGATTGAACCCACCAGCTGCTCCAAGAGTGAAGAAATGAGGCTTTCTGCCCTAGTCGAGATAGGCTTGTCTTTCTTGGAAGCCCAATAAAAGCAAATTTACTCTGTCCTACAGGGTCACTGTGAGTTGGAATCCATTCGATAGCAGTGAATTTGAGTTTGCTTAAATACATATATTTAGTATCTGCATAAACTGCACCGTATAGATGGTGTTGCTGTTAGGTGGTATAAAGTGAATTTTGACTCATAACAACCCTACAACAGAAAGAAACACCGCTCTGTCCTGCACCATCCACACAATTGTTACGTCTGAGCCTTGTTGCAGCCACTGTGTCAATCCATCTTGTTGACAGAGCTCAGCAGGGAAGGACACAGAGTGGGGCCAGGGAAGAAACAGGAGTCAGGCTGGGAAGGTGGGCTGGAGCTCATCCACAGGGAGAATGCCAAGACCCAGAGCTGGGAGCTCCAGCCAGCTTGGAGTCAAGAACAAGAGGAAACAAAGCCTCTGTGTTAAGAGCACTCCATGCAGTATGTGGAAGACAGCAGACAGGAGAGGGACCCCAAGGTTGGTATAATGGACAGGTGAAAAGTGAGGCATGAGGCAGGGGAAAGGGAGTGATAACAAAGTGGAAAGGAGAGAAGTGACAAAACTGCCAAGGAATTCAAAGACTCGATAGAGCCCACTCTGCCATCGAGCCATACCCAAAACCCTCAGAGATGATTCCAAGTCACGGTGACCCAAAGGGCAGAGTAGAGCTGCTCCCTGGGAGGCTGTGAATTTTTATAGGAACAGAAAGCCACCTTCCCCACCCTACAGAGCAGGCTGGTACACTCAAACTACTGAGCTAGTGGCTAGCAGACCAAACAATGACCGATTAGACCCCCAGGTCCCCAGTAAGACAAAGCAGAACTGCTCCTTAGGGGTTCTGAGAGCAAATCTTCCCGGGAACTGATAGCTTCATCAATTCTCCCAAGCAGCAGCTGCTGTTAGCTGCACAAGGCTTAAACATCTGGCCCCATCAGGGATCCTTCTCCTGAAACTCGCAGGAGTAAAAGATGTTTCTAATCTTGAGTCTAAGTGAACAGTAGGCTGAGTGATGCCAGCTAATTTGGATGAAGAAAACAGAAGCCCAAGTCTGGGTAAACTATCACAAGTCTCTTTTCAGGTGTTAAACTGAACATGGAAGTAGAATATCCAAATAGACACATCCTAAACTAGAACCCAAAGCTGCTCTTGGCCCTGTGATAAATTTTTAACTTCTCTGGGGAAGCCCAACAAATGGCACACTTTAATAAAATGTTGAGCCTCGTCTTCACATTCTGCAGGAAAGGTTAAGGCCTCCAAGACCCTCGTAGCTGACTCATAACACAAGTTAGCTCCAACAGCCTTTCCCTAAACTCCACAGCACAAGCAGGCCGGGCATTATTCAAAAGCCATTATAGTGGAGACGAGGGGAAAAATTTCAGCCAACTCTCAGACTAAAGAAATTCATTCATACAATTTACATGGTCAGTAATATAATGCACAAATCCTGCTTCGTTTTAACCCAGTCTTTTATTTTAAAAGACTTATAATAAAATTTCAGTACAAAAGTTTAATTTCAAGCTACAAACTGTCAATCAAATATAGATAGGACATTTTCCTGAATTAAAATGTTGGTGATTTTCTAGTTCAAAGGCAAATAATCAAACTAACAAGGCAAACTTACAAACGATGGTAAACTTCAGAAGGCTTTTATTTACAAGACACTCAATTTGCAATACTTAAATGTCAGGAGGGGGAAGAATTTAAGTGAACGTACAATTTTATCTTAAAAAAAGAAAATGTACAAACCTCATAATGTTCATATTCATCCACATCAAATGTCTCAAAGTCAAAAAATCCATGTTGTAACCCCTAAAAGCAGAAATTGTGTTAGTTTGGCTACATTGGCAACACCTACGAACAAGTCTGTCTTGGAGCTCCTGCTCACAAAACCCTCCTCGCTGACTTAAGAGACAATGCTGACTTGTAATGCCTTTCTAGAACTATCTTACAACACTAAAGCTTTAGCTTTGAAACTGCCTTACAAGTAAAAGTGAACCCGTGGGACATTCTATCCCACCCACATTACCTTCAGCTCTGGTTTAGATCATTTTATATGTAAAAATAATTATGTATGAATGAAACATACCAGAATTTTATAATTAAAAATGTTGTGACTATGAAAATTAATTTATATCTTAACCATGGCAGAGGCTAGAAGAAAAAGTTATTATCTTAGGAAGTCTTACTTTTATCAGTCATGAGACATTTAGAAAAAAGCATGTTTAATTAGTCGGTCCTTGCTGTTTCCTATTGGACCCTGGTGGCACAGTGGTTAGAGTGCTCTGCTACCGACCAGAAGGGCCTTGGTTCAAACCCACCAGCCACTCAGCAGGAAAAGGATGTGAGTGTCTGCTTCCATAAGGGTTTACAGCCTGGGAATCCCTCTGGGTAGTTCTGCTCTTTCCTGCAGGTGGTAGGTTTGGGGGCTTCGGTATTGTTTCCTGAGATTCTACTGTGAGAGAATCCGTTTCTTAACGATAGGCCCTGACAGACTAAAAGTGTGCTTGGCTGCTGCTTCAATTAAAGAAGGAAGAATTGCCTTCAAATTCCAAGTCCTTTGGTAACTTAATGATCTAGAATTTTTTAAAATGACCCAGCTTGCTTAGATTTAAAATACTGAGGACTAGAAAATACAAAACAAGTACTTTTAAATACTATATATATGATGAAAAAACAAACTCACTGCCATCGAATCACGCTGACTCAGAGTGACCCTATAAGACAGGGTACAACTACCCTTTTGAGTTTCCGAGATTGTATAACTGTTTCGAACTGCTGACCTTGAAGCGAGCAGGCTAAAACATAACCACTACGCCACCAGGAAAGCCAAGCTCCAGCAGATCTATCTTCGAAAATACATTAGCTATCAGTGTTTTACAAAATATGGAAAATGGACCGCCTGCATCGGAAACATGCTAACTACTAAAAATACTGACTCCTTAACCCTTATCCCAGGATGACATCTCAATCTCTGGGAGAATCCGCATTTTCACGAGCCTTCCTGGGTGGTCATGATGTGGTAAATTCTGACAACATATTCTTGGACAGCACAGATAGACGCATCAAAACACATTGTTTGAATTAGTTCCCCTTTAAACAAAGCAACTTAGTTCTCCATATACAGCAAAGAAAATGAATGAAAAGAAAATTACTCACTAAACCCTTCACTTTTCTTCCCTTCCTTTTAAGTGTGTGATTTTGCTTTTGCAGAATATGAACTGTGCTTATGACAAGGCTAACACAATCAAAATCAGAAAGAGAGGCTCTGCATAAAGGCAAAATTGAGGCCATATTCCAGGCACATTTGTAGGTGGTTATTCTTTGGTACAAAAATAAGCCGGAGCGTGGCACATCATGGTGGAAGCGAGTACAAAGTACAGGCAATGTGTTTCAGTTACTTAAAAACCACCTGAAGGCTCCAATACCAGGTCGCCTACATCGTCATCAACAGTTGGATAAAAGAAATACCAATAATTTGGCAAAACAGTGAGTTTACAGAAAGCCTTTAGAATAAAATCACACCTTTCCTTTACAACAGGAAGGATGTCATAAATTTCCGTATGAAATTACCAGTTACCATAGAAACAGGCTGGGATAGTCCGCAGCATGAATTCTTTCTGAATTTCATATCGTGCTATAAAAGGCACGGCCTATGTCAATGTTGGGGGAAGGTAAAATAACAACAGAGTGACAATCCATGAATTACATATACATCTCCGCCCTCGGGCATATTTAAATGCTCTAACTGGCTCCTTTCTTAAGTAATATCTATCTAAAGGTTTTTTAACTGCTGTTACTTGGTATGCACACTGGTTATACTGTTTGCAGAGTGTGGATTAGAGTATTTTCCTAGTTAAAGCAAAAGGGGGAGTATTTGAAACAATTTCTTGATTTTACAGAGTTTAAACTCATTTTAAAATGAAATATGAAAATTGAAACCCAATAGGCAAAAAAAATCAGGTAACACAGTTATCATACCCCATCTATCAACTCAATATGCAGCAAAATCAGTTGTGGATTACACAGTGGAGGGAAACAAGCTAGAATCACTACTGATACTGTATTTGTAATCCAGTAGTCTTTGCTAGTGGGTTTTATAATATTGCATTCCTGATTCACAGAGAATCGTGTTTGAAATGCAATCACGTATTTTGAGTTCTCATTATAATTCACAGTCTAGTTAATTAATATTTCTAAAGCATACTCCAAAAGTTCTCAGGGACCTTTAGGATAAGCTTCTTTATATATATAAATAACTATAACCTGGTTCTCAAACTATAGTGAGCATCAAATCCCCTGGATGGGTTGTTCCGTTTCTGTACAGTAAGTCTGGGGCAGGGCTAGAAAATGTGCATTTCCAACAACTCTCCACACTTTGAAAACCCTGGTTCATGGTACACCGTTACAGGATCTCAGAGAGACCTCTGGGTTGAATGATGAAATTTGAGTTCGAATTAGCTCTAATAACTCCCTGTGAACCAGAGAGAAAATGATTCAACCTATCTGGACTTGTTTCCTCATCTCTAAAAGGGGGTTAATAATATCTGACCTTGCCGACTATTTCATGAGTCAGTGATAATATCCAATTAGAAAGCCGATGTAGACATGGTCTCCTCCACATAACAGGCTAGAGCTGTGCTTCAGATAACATTCTGCCTCCTCCCCCACCTAGACCCAGCCTGATAATGCGCTAAGGCAGCGGAGCAACAGCCACAGCTGCTACAGAGCAAACCCCAAAACAACCCACAGCCGCCGAGTGGATTCTGAGCACAGTGATCAATCTGCCCCAGAACACACAGCATTTCAGTGGGAGAGGATTCTCCTGGGCAGTCACAAAGTTACTCCTAGTCTGACCTGTATCTGTATCTTAGAATCCAACATTCTTCAAGAAGGGAAGCATGTCTGTTTGCATAGGGGCTCCCCTATCTTCTAACAGCAAGAGGATGTTCAAAGTAATTGGGCATTTTTGGTCCTCAAACACCTGTGTCAACTTCAGCTAGGAGAATTGTTATTACCTTTCTGATTCCCTGCAAACAGTCGAGGATGGTGAGATTGTAAGTGCAATATCCAAAGGAGGCATCCCTATAAACATAAATAAACTTAATATTAAAAACAGGCGTTTGGAAAACTGAAATAGTAAAACATCAAAGTCTGTCGGAGATGAGCTTGTTGGGCTGACGGCTGTCAGCATGATGCGCGGTTGCACAGGGCACATCCTACTACTTCACTCCTAACACTTCATCGAAGCACCTCTGAAATTGCTTCGATTCAGTAAAACCGGGCCCACTGCCATCAAGTCAGTTTAGACTCAGAGCGACACACTAAGACGGCTGGAACTGCCGTTGTGAGTTTCAAGAATGTAACTCTTACAGGAGTAGAAAGCCTAGTCTTTCTCCCTCGGGGAAGCTGAGGTTTTCACGCTACTGACCTTGAGCTAAGCAGTTCCAATGCATAAGCCACTAGGCTACCAGGGCTCCTTCATCCAATAAACACTAGTTAGAACCGAGACGGAAGAGCCTGGTGTCGCTGCCCTTGCTTCAAATTCTCATGCTGCCCTGTTCTAGCTAAGATCTTAAGTTTATTTACTTCCCAGTTTCCTCAGCTGTAAAATTCAATTAATTTATTAACCATAGGTCCATTGCTATCCATAGGTCCATCCACAAGTAACTTATTATCCATAGGTCCATTGCTAGACTACAAAGAATCATATGTGAAGTCCTTACTATAGTATCTGGCACATAGAAAACACTTCATAAATTTCAGGACTGCTATTATTAACAGTGAATTTTGTTGTTTCTTTAAATAAAACATGAATTGTCATAAGAAGTACTCTTATGGACCGTGAAAAAAAGCATCAAAAGGTAAGTAGGAAAATGTATGAAGGTCAAGAGCACCTGACAGACTGTTTTCCTATGTTAAATATTCCCCTCCCCTAGGAAACAAAGAAAATGCAGCCATACTTCTAAGCCCTCTCTTCTCGATATCAGTGGAGACCATGAGAGATCTAATTCATCCTGAAGTGCTCTATCAAGAGAACCTACCACACAGAAAATTGAGTGCTTCATACTTTATTTAAGTTTTTAGAGCAACTTAGCAGACCTGCTTCAGGCAACATAAGACTAAAGTATCAAGTTCAGGTCAGGTAAGCAAGAACTGGCACAGGAGTTTAACACTAGCAGACGTCCAAGGTGTCCAAGGCAAGAAACTTGACCTCGGCCTCCCCATCCCTCTGCCCAGCCTCCACTGCTGACCCAAAGGAACAGGGTTGTCTAGAAGATCAGCCCAAATGTGCCACAGGTAGCCAAGATGGGGGTATCTCTAGGGGGTAGATCTAGGGGAGAAGTCAACCTCTAAGGGTTTTAGCATAGTTAACATAAATGTAGGTGTTCTATTACTAATCACACCAAAGCAACCTGTGGTTGTAAACCATGAACTGAAATGCAACTTCAGCACCACTGAGTGACAGAATCCCGACAGCCAAGTAGAAAAACAATTGGTAAAGCCACTTAACAGAAATGTTCCTTATGCCCTGAAATATCAATTAACCTATGTAAATTTTAAAAAATCAAAATTCCCGGGGCAGTCCTATAGGGTCACGGTGAGTTGGCATCCACTCAATGGCAGTGGAATGAGGTACATCATCATAAGCTCTAAGATGGCATGTATTATCATTTATCCTTAAAAACTGTGTATTTTTAAAAGCAATTAAAATCCCACTGCCAGGCAGTCATTCCAAACCCAAGATAGGGTTTCTGCGAGTTTAAAATGCACAGGTCCAAGATGGTCTCATCTTTTCCTGAGGTGCAGCTGGGGGATTTGAGCCTTGGGGTCTGCAGCCCAACACCTAACCCACAGCACACCTGGGTTCCTTAATCTAGGTAAATTCAGGGGGTGATCTCACGTGTATTCTTTTAAAATGCTATCCACACACATGTGTCAGTGAAAACCAAATAGCCCTCTTCTAAAAATATCTTGTAAAGATGGGACACCATATAGTAAGAAGCCAAAACGTAATGGGCAAAACAAGAAAAGAATTGCCAAGCATCTAAGGAAAAGAGCTAGCTTGAATAAATAAACACACATGCCTTTGTAGGCACTTGACAGAAGAAGCGAACACTACTCTGGGGCAAGGGCTCAGAATCTATCTGGTGCCACGGACCCTTTCCACAATTAAGTTTGTGGACTCCTCCCCTGTACCCCATTTCTAACTTCTCACAGCTCTGAAAGGAAAGCTCAAATGCTCAGTGGGGCTATACGACCTTGTGCTATGTGGCCCTGCCTGCCTGGCCACTCACTCACTCTGCACCTAACAGCACTGGCACCACCTCACAGGGGCTGCTTGCTCTCACCACAGAACCTCTGCCTGGAATGTTCTTCCTACCCACCTCTGCCCAGGTGGCTCCTCTCATCCTTCAGATCTTAGCTCAAAGGTCACTTCCCACAGGTGAAAATCCCTACTCTAATACTAGA